CCTGAAGGAGGAGATGGAGAAGTCGCTCCCGATCCGCAGGAAAACTCGCTCGCTGCCGGACCGGACGCCTTTCCACACCTGTGAGTGGGGTGGTGTTCCCGAATCCCGCGGGGCTTTCCCTGCTCGGTTCTCGGTGCTGGACCCCCCTTCTACCCCCCAAATCCTGCCGGAGCATCCCAAATCCTGCCGGAGCATCCCAAATCCTGCCTGTGCCTCCCAAATCCTGCCCGTGTCTCCCAAATCCTGCCGGAGCATCCCAAATCCTGCCCGTGCCTCCCAAATGCTGCCGGAGCATCCCAAATCCTGCCTGTGCCTCCCAAATCCTGTCTGTCCATCCCAAATCCTGCCTGTGCCTCCCAAATCCTGCCTGTGCCTCCCAAATTCTTCCTGTGCATCCCAAATCCTGCCTGTGCCTCCCAAATCCTGCCAATGCATCCCAAATCCTGCCAGAGCATCCCAAATCCCACCTGTGCATCCCAAATCCTGCCGGCGCATCCCAAATCCCACTGGTGAATCCCAAATCCTGCCTGCACCCCTGCTCGTCCCTGTCCATCCCTGTCCATCCCTGATCCTCCCTGCCTGTCCCTGAAGGTCCCTGCCTGTCCCTAAGTGTTCCTAAATGTCCATAAATGTCCCTAAATGTCCCTAAATGTCCCTAAGTGTCCCTGCCCATCCCTGCCTGTCCCTAAATGTCCCTGATGGTCTCTGACCATCCCTGCCCATCCCTGATGGTTCCTGACGCTCCCTGCCCATCCCTGCCTGTCCCTGCTTGTCCCTAAAAGTTCCTAAAGGTCCTTACCCATCCCTGCCTGGCCCTATAAGTCCCTAAATGTCCATAAATGTCCCTGCCTGTCTCTGCCTGTCCCTGCCTGCCCCTAAATGTCCATAAATGTCCTTAAATGTCCTTAAATTTCCCTGGTGGTCCTTGCCCATCCCTGCCTGTCCCTGTCTGTCCTTGCCTGTTCCTAAATGTCCTTTATTGTCCTTGCCCATCCCTGCCTGTCCCTAAAGCCCCCTGAATGTCCCTGCCTGTCCCTAAATGTCCCTAAATGTTCCTGCCTGTCCCTGCCCATCCCTGTCTCTGCCTGTCTCTAAATGTCCCTGGTGGTCCCTTCCCATTTCTGTCCATCCCTGCCTGTCCCTAAATGTCCATAAATGTCCCTTAATGTCCCTGCCCGTCCATGCCTGTACCTAAATGTCCCTGCCTGTCCCTAAAGGTCCCTAAGGTGTCCCTGCCTGTCCCTAAAGGTCCCTAAGGTGTCCCTGCCTGTCCCCAAATGTCCTGAAATGTCCCTGCCTGTCCCTAAATGTCCCTGCCTGTCCCTAAAGGTCCCTAAGTGTCCCTGCCTGACCCTAAATGTCTCTGCCTGTCCCTAAATGCCCCTGAATGTCCCCGCCTGTCCCCAAATGTCCCGAAATGTCCCTGCCTGTCCCTAAAGGTCCCTAAAGGTCCCTAAAGGTCCCTAAGTGTCCCCGCCTGTCCCCAAATGTCCCGAGATGTCCCTGCCTGTCCCCAAATTGGCTGACGCTCTCTGCCTCTCTCCNCCTGAAGGAGGAGATGGAGAAGTCGCTCCCGATCCGCAGGAAAACTCGCTCGCTGCCGGACCGGACGCCTTTCCACACCTGTGAGTGGGGTGGTGCTCCCGAATCCCGCGGGGCTTTGCCTGCTCGGTTCTGGGTGCTGGACCCCCCTTCTACCCCCCAAATCCTGCCGGAGCATCCCAAATCCCTGCCCGTGCATCCCAAATCCTGCCAGAGCATCCCAAATCCCTGCCCGTGCATCCCAAATCCTGCCGGAGCATCCCAAATCCTGCCCGTGCATCCCAAATCCTGCCAGAGCATCCCAAATCCCTGCCCGTGCATCCCAAATCCTGCCCGTGCATCCCAAATCCTGCCTGTCCATCCCAAATCCTGCCGGAGCATCCCAAATCCCTGCTCGTGCATCCCAAATCCTGCCGGAGCATCCCAAATCCTGCCTGTCCATCCCAAATCCTGCCTGTCCATCCCAAATCCTGCCAGAGCATCCCAAATCCTGCCTGTGCATCCCAAATCCCACCTGTGCATCCCAAATCCCTGCCCATGCATCCCAAATCCCACCGGTGAATCCCAAATCCTGCCAGAGCATCCCAAATCCTGCCAGAGCATCCCAAATCCCTGCCCATGCATCCCAAATCCCACCGGTGAATCCCAAATCCTGCCAGAGCATCCCAAATCCTGCCTGTGCATCCCAAATCCTGCCGGCGCATCCCAAATCCCACCGGTGAATCCCAAATCCTGCCGGAGCATCCCAAATCCTGCCGGAGCATCCCAAATCCCACCTGTGCATCCCAAATCCTGCCCGTGCATCCCAAATCCTGCCCGTGCATCCCAAATCCTGCCGGCGCATCCCAAATCCTGCCTGTGCATCCCAAATCCCACCGGTGAATCCCAAATCCTGCCTGCACCCCTGCTCATCCCTGTCCATCCCTGCCCATCCCTGATGCTCCCTGCCTGTCCCTAAATGTCCCTGATGGTCTCTGACCATCCCTGATGGTTCCTGATGGTCCCTGCCTGTCCCTAAATGTCCCTAAAGGTCCCTGACAGTCCCTGGTGGTCCTTGCCCATTGCTGCCTGTCCCTAAGTGTTCCTAAATGTCCATAAATATCTATAAAATTCCATAAATGTCCGTGCCTGTCCTTGTCTGTCCCTAAATATCCCTAAATGTCCCTTAATGTCCCTGGCCATCCCTGTCTGTACCTAAGTTTCCCCGCCTGTCCCCAAATGTCCCGAGATGTCCCTGCCTGTCCCTGCCTGTCCCTAAAGGTCCCTAAGTGTCCCCGCCTGTCCCCAAATGTCCCGAGATGTCCCTGCCTGTCCCCAAATTGGCTGACGCTCTCTGCCTCTCTCC